CGGCCGGCAGAAAGCAAGCCCTATTCTCTATCTTCTTTTCCAGGATAGGGATCAGGGATTGTTTTGGAGGCAATCGATGCGGGATCTCAAGAGCTGGTTTGTATCGGTTTTCGCGTGGCGTTGATGATGGGAATTAGCTTGGTGCAAATGATCAACGCTCTAATATGGTATTGACATAAGAAACTTGGCATGTGGTGATGTGTGTGGGCGCATCGAGTGTGTCGCGTGATAAACACGTGGGTACCTCTGTCCTTACTCACGACCCCCCATGAGTCACCAACAACACCATGAGTACTCGCTGCCCGCAGAGCTCTGGACCATAGTCTGGTCTCATGCCTCCCGTCGTCAGCTGTGTAGACTCGCTCTCGTCTGTCGTCTCTTCCGCGCGATCGTACAACCTGCACTCTTCCGCAGGATCGAAACAACGATCAAAGACCTCTGGTTTGAGCCGAAGCGATGGGTCGAAGTCACCCAGCATCTCTGTCGCATCGCAGCGCAATACCGTGCTCTTCCTTGTGGAGCGCTTGTGGAGGAGGTTGACGACATCACATTCAGAGGAAGCAGCGATGGATACAGGTGCTATGATGGGCGCTTTCCCTGGATAACGAATCTGGAACTTCTCATCCAAGCCTACGGGCGTGCATTCACCAGCTTCCGCAACTCTCTACCTCATTTCAGGCACCTCAGAGTCTTGGAACTGTCGTCGATTACGGTCGATACGTCCCTGCGCCAGATATTGGGATCCGTGGAATCCCTCAAGACCCTTCGGCTGTGGCGATGCGAAATAGACCCGCCGTGTGGCCAGCTTCTTCTCTTGGAGAATTTTACCCTGCATCATCACGAATACTACGGACGGGGGATAGATCCCGAACCTGTCGTGACAATCTGCGCTCCGGAGCAGCTTCGCGAGCTGAAGATGAATGTGCCTCGAGTGCTTTTGAACGGATTCCTGAGCCTGGGCGTGACTTTCACGCGTCTCCAAACCTTGATCGTCACTGATTGGCCTAACGAGGACTTGTTCTTCCCATTTTTGCGGATCTGCCCCAATGCCACAGAGTTGCGCATACAGTGCGGGAGCTGGAGCCTATCCCCTTCTATCCGGCATGACCCAGAAGGCGGGAAACTGCTTCCGATGCTCTCCTCGCTATCTGCACCACATTCCTGGGTGCGATATTTCGCACGGAGCGCTCCGGGCCGCGATATGACGGAAGTGAACCTACGTGGCCTGCACTGGGAAAGCAATGCGCCGGATCCATTCTCGCCGTATCGAGACACGCTTGAAGTGCTGCATCAGTGCGACATTCCCCTGCGCACACTCAGATTCACCCTTGCAACATGGATGCTTCCGGAGCTGATCCGCACGGTCAGCGGCTATTGGCCCGGTCTGTGTGCGCTCGACATCATTGCCTGGGATCAATGGGGATTCTCGTCTTGGAACAGTGGATTTGGTGATCATGGCCCTCAAATTCACTCCCCGTCCCAAGGATCTCCGGATCTTCGCACCGTTGATCTCGACTCGGACTATACTGCGCCAGAGGCTGAATCCATTTCACGTCCGCCGACACCTCATCAGATTAGCTATCCTCCAGCTCATGCGATGAAGCCCAGCCATTATTCTCAGTTGTTTCACCATGAAGGTGTCCAGAGACGAGAAGAGCGCCAGGAGCCTGCCTGCTTCGAGGTCCGTCGCATGGCAAATGGCTGCTCGCTGTGCTGATTTCGTTCAAGTCACTTTTGACACTGATAACAGCGGGTGGAATCGAGTTTTCGCCGTCTCTCGAGTGCCTCGTGTTGGCTTCCCTGCATTTGGCTCGCTACCATGACGAGCCGGCCGATATTATCACCAACCACGATCTCTATCCCATTCCACTTGCTCACGACGTGATCCGTTTACTTGGAGCTCAACTGCCTACGCTGCAGAGAGTACAGCTTGGTGATACACAAAGATGGTGGACTCGTGACACGCGTCGACACAAGAATGCATGGTGGGACGGGTGCGTCGATTTGCTTTGTGCGGATAATTATGCACTCAATACTTTCCAGAATCGTTATTATTTGATCATCGGATGCCTCGGTTTTTTCTTCTAAAAAACGGACCGTGCGACACTCGTTGAAACCGTTACCGACGAATAATCAGATTATCAGTTTCACTATTCTAGCTAATGTCAACATCAAGTCACGTGATTATGACCGGAAACTTTTGCTCGCTCTCGCTTCGATTCGCTGTGCCGAGCGAATTAGGCGCTTTTTTCTTAATCAAATTCTGATCCAGACTTGAGCTGCACAAAAATTTCTGCCCGCTATCGACTGAGCTTCGAAATGATTATCTGGAAGTGTAGGGTCCACGTGACAACAGCCCGATCTGATGCTCCGGTAATATGCGGTCCTGTCTTTGGTCCTCCTTCACACACCGCATTCTTCTCGATTCCCGCGAGCTTGTTCAGCTGATCTCTGTCTGATCCTGCGCAATGTCGAACAGTCAAAGTGATCCTTCCTTCCCCCTGGACCTGACGATGATGGGAAACGATGTTGCAAGAAAGGTATAAAGGACATCGCTGAGGACACAAGTGTAGGCACTCTTCTGCCAGTCATGTTCTCAAGCTTCAGAGTTTCAAGTATGAATTCCAAGTTGCTCTGTATCTTAAATCTTCTCTTGGGACCATCGACAGCTGGTGCGTGCCCGAGTGTCATCTCATCCCTGAAGGCCTCGTCCGAGACTGACTCCTGATATGAGTTGCCCAATCGCTCAATTTCTCTGCATCCCAATGGCTTTGGATCACACCCGTCAACCAGCAATCGATCCAGGGAGCCTTCCGCAAAGACTTCAGTCCTCCGTTCGGTCGCTCCCTGATTGCAGCAGAGATCATCATCGCAACTGCAAACACGGACATGAACTTCTTCATGAACGGCCAACTTCTGGGTCCCGTTTCGCGACCGGATCTCTCGGACCAGTCTACAGCTTCCCACTTTTGTGTCGACACAGAGCCCAGCTTGAACGTATTTGCAATCAACTCAACCATGATCGATCACTTCACCACTCCAGGGTTCATCGCGACGATTCTGGTCACGTACGACAATCTCCGCACAGACATTCTCCTGAGCGATCCGTCCTGGCGCGCGTCTGTGACATCGCCCGATGGATGGCCCGAGCTGTCCTTTGACGACACGGCCTGGATCACCGCGTCCGCAGCGCCAGTGAACGTGCCCGCTACGAAACTTGCCTCCCTGCCTCTCTCGTTCGATGGATCCGTGTGGATCTGGAACCGGGCCGTTCTTGGAGGACCGATCCCATCCGGCCCGTGCTGGTTCCGGTCAACCTGGACACCGACGGTCGCGAACCAGTTGCCCGCCTCGGTCGACATCGCCGTCCTTGCCGTAGATCAGTACACGCTCATCGTCAACGGCGTCATCCTCGGCGGCGGGAGTAGCAACATCGTCGCCGATCACTGGGTCGTCCATTTCACCTCGCCCCCGCCCACAATCGTCTTTGCCGCTGTTGCGCAGAATAACGTGAACGGCGCCGCCGCCGGCTTCATCGCCACTGCGGTGATCACGATGCGCCCGACCGGCCGGGCAAACTGCACCGCCACGCTGGCGGTCCAGACGCAAGAGATCGGGTGGAAAGCCACGTCGAATGCGAGCTTGGTGACGAGTGCCTGGTTCCAGATGGGGTTCGATGATTCCGCGTGGCCGGAAGCTGGAGACGAGGCGTCGTACGGAGAGAGTTTTTTGCGTCTGCCTGGAACGGTCAACATTGCTCCTGCCTCTCCAGCTGTCGTTATTCCATGATTTCGTCATCGAAAATAGTGTGTACTTTCTTCTTCAGGGATGGGCGTAGCGGATGGAGTTTTTTTTTTTGGCTATCTAGCTTGTATTTCGATGGCCTCGTTGGATTGAATGGAATGCCTTCCAGTTAAGTTGCAGGGGCTTACCTATCAATCGCCATTAAGTAGAACGAATTTCTCCGAGCGTACCCTAATTTCTAGATCAGGCAGGGCGGATGTGGGATCTTCGCCTTGACAACCAGCGCTTAGTTTGAGGCCCGCCACCCGCGCCGCGGCCGAAAGGCACCGTGTCACCCATCATTGATGTCTTTCAGCACCATGACTGCAACCGCGCGAATCGACCACCGAGCCCTTGATGCACCAAGATCCTGAGCATACTTTCCCCATCAGAAGTGTCCTGGAAGAGCCATCTCGCAGGCTGTTGCCAACAACGCGACACTCATGATCGCGTTTGAACTGCTTTTAAGTCGGCCGATTGTTGAATCTCAGTAAAGACTGACGCGCTCCATGCAGGAAGCGAGCTCGCTCATTTGCGCTAAAACTTTCTTAAGCGGTTGCACTCCGTATCCCCGATTGCATAGCGATCGAGAGTTATGCGGGTAAGTAGGCAGAGTTCGACCCAATCGGCGCATAACGACCTCATGTTTTTCAGCGTCGAACTGTGAGGCAATTGGAGTAACACGCAGTCAAATCCTTGGTTTCTAATCTTGAACTCCCGGAAATGAAAAGAACTCACTCCCACGCGGCAGCGTCAACGTACAGCAGCCACGTGAGGCTGCGACAGCTCTTCCAGGTTTGCGTTATTCACAAGCCAGAAGAACTCGATCAGGCTCGTGAGGGCTTGCTATTGAATACCCTTGGCTTCGCAAACACCTCGGGGCGGAGGAAACTCTGCCGGACTGGCCAGGCAGGTCACCCTCCTCAGCTCGTGATTGCCCAGATTGTCCAGTTCTCGCTGCAGGAAGCTCTGTTCCTGCTCCCCAAACAGCAGAGATGACGCATCCTTGCCACAGATGCTCCGGTCGTGCCTCGAGACCCCGCATGCTACCGTCGTCGAGGACGTCATCTGGCCGCTGATCGCTGTTATTCCAGGTCCGGATGAGCTCAGAGGATGGAATCAGGCTCGGCACCTGACATGAAGGCTGAATTGGTGGCTTGATCCTGTGCAGGTGGAGTCTGGCGTCTGCTATTCCGCATCGGTGCTCAGCTCAGGGAAGGCTATTTAACCAGTGCACAACTCGCGTGTATGTCCATCACAAGCAGCGATGACTTGGCTGTCCCTCCTCCTTCCTGCTCTCCTTTTCATCTCTCCTTATGTTCGAGCACTGCCCAGTGTCCCAGAAGCTCGGCAAACGGACAGCAAACTTGTTTTCTGTCATTTCATGGTGGGTGTCATGACCTTGCCCCAGAATCGCAACCCAACCATCTGCAGATTGGCATCACGTCGGATCGCACGAGCTCCTCTGCATACGACGATGACATGCGACGCGCGAAGGCGCTGGGCATCGACGCGTTCGCGCTGAACATCGGGACCGACCCGTACACCGACCAGCAGCTCGGCTTCGCATACGCGTCGGCAGCGAACAACGGCATGAAGGTCTTCATCTCCTTCGACTTCAATTGGTGGTCGACGTCGCAAGGGTCTGCTGTCGGCGCTAAGATCGCGCAGTACGCGTCGCTCCCCGCACAGCTTTACGTCAACGGCCGCGTCTTTGCTTCGTCCTTCGCGGGAGACGGGATCGACGTCGGCGCGCTCCGTGCTGCGGCGGGCCGCAACGTGTATTTCGCGCCGAATTTTCATCCCGGTCAGGGCGACTTCAACGCGGTCGACGGCGCGTTGAACTGGCTCGGCTGGGACAACAACGGCAACAACAAAGCACCCAGCGGTGGTGTCACGGTCACGGTCAACCAGGGAGATCACAACTACGCTTCGACCCTGGGTGGCAAGGGATATATCGCCCGTCAGTCGCCATCATTATTCCATGTTCTCACGGGCTCACTTACAGCAGCTGCATCTGCATGGTTCTCCACGCATTTTGGGCCCGAGGTGTCCTACAGCAAGAATTTTGTTTTCCCCAGCGATTTGTTGTGGTATCAGCGCTGGGTTCAGATTCTCGCTCTTCGACCCCAGTTTGTCGAGATTGTGACTTGGAATGAGTGAGTGAATTTTTTAGTTTTGCTTATGAATTGTCTCATCTCGCATAGTTATGGAGAATCTCACTACATCGGCCCGCTTTCCTCGCCGCACACGGACGATGGTGGCTCCAAGTGGGTCAACGATATGTGCGTCGGGGCTCATTATTCGTTCCTTCTGCAAATTGATTGTTGATTCAGGCCACATGGCGGCTGGCTGGACATGGCCAAGCCATTCATAGCCGCTTTCAAAGCCGGTGCTTCATCTCCGAATACCTTCATCACGAGCGACCAGATCATATACTGGTACCGCATTGCTCCCAAAAGCCTCAACTGCGATGCTACGGACACAACTATGCAATCAGCGAACAACGCTTCCGGAAACTACTTCCAGGGCCGTCCGAACGGTTTCAACTCCATGGCAGATGATGTGTTCGTCGTTCTGCTCCTCACCGCTCCAGGACGGGCCATCGTCAATTCGGGTGGGAAAGCGTATACATTTGATGCACCAGCGGGCGCCTCGGCATTCTCCGTCCCGTTCCACGTCGGGTCCCAAGCCTTCTCCCTCGAACGCGGGGGCGCTCAGATCCTCAGCGCGACCAGCCTCAAGTTGATCCAAAACACGTGCCCGTGCGGACTGTACAATTTCAACGCATATGTCGGCACGGTCCCAGAAGGACCGCGGGACACTTTGCAGCCGGATGGGCTGGCTGCATTTTCTAGTGGACTGAAGACTGGGTGCTCGCCGGTCCCTTCTCTGCCGGCGTCCCCACCCGCAGTGACGCCTGCTACGACCACGATGGCAGCCACTGCCGCTCCCACCTTGTCTCACTAAGCTGATGTACATACCACTCGTTCTCGTGTAGCATTTACTGTAATTTGCTCATGCTTGTAGCCAGTCCGTCAGCGCGTGATATCACGTGTTCAAATCTCTTTGTCCAAATTATCACAGCGTCCTCTACTACGGGCAGACCCAATCACAGTCGTTTTGTCTCCGAAATTCAGCTCCAACATTGAAAGCCACGTGCATCGTTTGTAGACTGCGACACACAGGCTGCTCGCGACGCGCCGTGGGCCGCCGGGCCGCCCGCCTCAGATGGTCACGCTGGTCGGAATCATTTGACTGACGCTTCGATTTCTCTGACGCTGTATAAGGGAGACCCATGACCGAATAAACACGACTTTCCCCGACAATGTATGTCATTACCTTTCTCCTCATCGGAGCCTACGCTCTCCATGGCGCGCATGCACAGTCGGCGTCCACGAAAACCTTTCCCATTCTCCTGAACTCGACTTCGACGCTCACTTTGGCTGTGCAGCCCTCCTGCGGCTCATTGAAGACTGGGAACTTTACTGAAGTCAACACGGGGATCCAGCTGGGGAAGATCAGGACTGTGGTCAGTTTCGGGGATTCGTGGACGTCGACGGGAGGTGACTGCGCCTAGTCCATGACTCCGGAAAGCTGCGGTCTCACTCAGATCCAAAACAGCGAACGGCACCGTTCCTCTACCACCTATCCTTCATCCACCTCTCCCATCCGCGGGGGCTGCGAACTCAGAGAACAGGCGCGCCACGAACGGGTATATGTGGACTGAACGGCTGGCGGCTGACTTCAACGCCAAGTTGCTGGATGTGTGTTCTGTTTCTGTCGGAGATGAAATGGTTATAGAAAACAACTAGTATTCTTGGGGTGGAGCTGTGATCGACAACTTTGCGTACAACACCACCAGCCCTGCAAACGCCACGGGCAAGCCGCGATCTGATTTCGTGGCGCAGATGGGGCTGTTCCAGCTGCAGGGCCGATATCTCGACGCGCTTGCACCGAGTTCCACGCTTTACACCGTTGCATTTGGGATCAAGTGAGTGTTGTGAAGTGCCTCGAACACGTGTGATGCTCAATCTATTTTCCCAGCGACAATGGACAGTACGGCCTGGGTTTGTTCCCATGTGTAAATCTGCCGGCTTCTATGATACTTACGGTTTCCCAGGGGGAGGTGATATCGAGACTGCGATCAATACATACGTTTGTTTCATCCCTTCCCTCTGATCATCCTCCCGCTGCAACTGAGTCTTCTGTGCAGATCCAAAAACTGTCGATCTTGCAATCTCAGTTCAAGGCAACCAACATTCTGATCCACGGGATGTACACGTCGCATTCGGAGACAGACTACCTCCAGAGCCGGATCTTCGAATATCTCGTCGCGTCGCACCTGACCAACGGCACGAATTTCGCGTTCGTCAATCTCCAGAGGCTGTTCTCGACGATCGCGGCACAGCCCGCGGCGTTCGGATACACCGGGAACGCGACGTGCTTGGTCAGCGCGAATACTATTGTGGGGGGATGTGCAGATCCAGACACGAGCGTGTTTTACATTCGTGAGTTCCCGGACTTGGGTGCCACCAGGGTAGTTGCTGACCGAATTTTGCTTACCAGCCGGTCATCCGTCGATGATGACTCACGGGTTGATCAATGACTACACGCAGGCGGTTGTGGACGGATGTGTCCTTAGCAGTGGATAATGGCAGTCAACTGCCAGTTAGCAAGAGCAACTGCCTTGTGATAATCATGCTAGCCGCTAAAAAAAAATAACAAGTACTCGAACAAGTGGTTAGACGTGTGAATGACTGGTAGCTCTCTGGCTGTATTACTTCCGACGATTGAATCTAGGCGCAGTTCTCCGCCCAGTTCGCAGCCGCATGTTTCCAGAACATGACATCGGTCTGGACTCGGAACGTCCCAATTTGACACCCCCGCTGGCGACTTGCGTCTCCCCTCCTCGATACAGATACCGTTTCGTCGCCGCCTCCATTTCAGAAGACTCGTGGTGCGGGAGAGAAACAGCGGGGAGCTGAAGCCGCTGGAGACTCGTCACTCGACGCGAAGCGGGAGTGGAACTGCGACCCCGTTGATGTTGATCAGGACGCCGGGAAGATGCATTTGGGCAAGAGGTGATGGTGGCCCGTGATGGCAATGAGACAGAGGAGACGGAGTAAGACGACGTCGTTGATAGACGGTCCCAGTCTGGGTCTGATGAAGGAGTGCCTGGCCGAGAGAAGCCGCTCGAGTCCGAGTCGGCGCTGGAGGAGGCCGGCGATTCAGCCCATCGCCGGTCCCAGCAGGGTGTCAAAGGAGGGCAGTATTTCTGATGTAGCTGGGTGGAGGGTCCTGCTGCTGTTGGAGCTGACGCGTAAGGCAAATGCTCTTGCGAGTGGCGAGCGCGCGCCGAATCCAGCGTGGCGCGAAGCGAGGAGATGGAGATTCGCTGGCTGGTGCCGCCCGGAAGACGTGTAGGGAGCATTTGGATGGTGAAGGGTGCGATGGCAAGTGAGGGCGGAAAGTAAGCAAGCAGACGAGCAGACGAGGCTTTATTAACATAAAAATAGAAAAGCTAGCCCGAGCCCAAGAGTCTTCGCCCGCCGCGACGCGAGTCTAGGCCGTTCGCGTCCCATCTGCCACAACGAGAGCGAAGAGGATGATCATGCATGGACCGAAGGATCACACTCGCGCTTGGAGAGTTTCAATCCCTCAGAGTTCGATCAACGGAGAGTGGCCAGAACTGTAACGTCGGGGACCTGGAGCTTCTTATGTCAGACATAATCATGGTTAAGGAGAAAACCCGGGTGAAAGCGTAACTATCCGCCCTGTCACAGTGAATGATGTGACTGATACAGTGCCGTGTCAATAATTCGTCCCGACTCCCGACTCCCGACCGCTGGCATGGCCGCTGCTCCCCCTCTCTTCTCTACGCTGGCTCTTCATGAACGCGCCTTCTTGATTCTGGCCCCAACAAGCATGACATACGGCGACTTGGCGGACTCCGATTGCGACGACAACATCTCCATTGGACTGCAAGAGCTTTTCGGCCCGGGCGTCCCTCGCTGGTCCACTGAGAACGGCAACGCGGAATCATCCTTGCGCGAATTCGCTCTGTTCTGACTGCTAGGTGCCTTGACGTAGAAGACCTCCTCTCGTTCCACGCCTCTTTTTTGCTAAAAGGTGCGCTACTGCAATCGCGAGCTTAGAGCTCATTCTCATGATGGCTTTCAGCATACGATTATGGATTTACATCCACAGGGGCTCCGAGGAGCACTGGGCAGTTGTTTCGCTTGAGGTCCGACTCTCCCCATGCATTTCATGCCAACTCAATTTGCTTCTTCTGACGCCGCACTCAGCTCGCTTCTGGCTCTCTTCCCTTCCGGGACACGTAAAATGGGTGAGAATTGGGTACATAAGGACGTGCCGTGTCACTCTCGTCGACTCGCCTTGCGGTTCTTCTTCTCCCCCACCCTCGTTTGTCTTCGCTGCCCCGACTTTACAATGTTCTCCACAACGAAAACCAGGTTTGTGCCGCGTTCTTCTCTTTGGTGGCCCAGTAGTAGCTGATACGTCCACGCCTAGCTCTGCCTTGCTCGCATTTGTTGCCTCTGCGGTCGCTGTCTCCAATCTGCAAGCACCTACGTCCGTTCAGCCGGGTCAGAGCGTCACCGTGACTTGGTCCTCCGACAGCACGGATACGTGGGTCCAAGCTTATGATTGCCCACCCGTCGACTCATCTGCCTCAGCCAGCCTGCTGTTCTCATCATGTACAGCAAGAAGACCTACGTGAGTAACTTGTCGCGTCAGAATACGGTCACCGAGCGTTTTTCAGAGCGGAGCATTCGCTCTGGCTGACGACATTGATCTTCAAAAGAACAGTCTAACAGTTGATCTGCCCCAGGTCTACACTGGGTCTGTATACTCAGTTGTGCGCGCCGAATTGGCCCAACTCTGACGCCTTTCCACAGCGACAACTTCACTTTCGAGATCGTCAACAAAAACGACCAGAGCAAAGTTCTTGCCCAAAGTAACGCGTTCTCCGTGGGCGGAACCCCCGTGGCGTCGACCATGTCCGCTGCTAGCACCGCAAGCCCGACTGCGACGGCCTCCGCTTCTGCTTCCGCCAAGCATGCTTCATCTGGCACTCATTCCGCGAGTGCTACGAAGACGATGTCAGGGTCTATGACTCACAGCGGGTGAGTGTCAACTTGTGCTTCCAATCCATCCCTCTGACTGCGGGCAGGTCGATGACGGCCTCGGCCCATCCGACGTCCTCTTCTGCGGCCTTCCCGTCGGGCACCTTCTCACTCGTCTCGTCGCTGGCGTCTACGATATCAATGGAGAGCTCCGCGGCCGTGGCCGCGTTCTCCTCCGCCACCTCCATGATCGCATCCTCCGCCTCGGCCGAGTTGTCCCACATCGCTGCCTCGGCCTCGGCCTCTTCGAAGAACTCCGCGCCGCACGGTACCAAGCACGTTTCGCGTTCTGCTGTGGCCCTCGTGGCCGGTGGCTTGTTGATTGGCGCCCTGATGGGGCTGGCTTGAGTTTTTCTGTATCGGTGCTGGCTCGGGCATCGACAGCGGTGATTGGCTGTGGTCTGTCTTTGTCAGATATGAACCTTGTGTCTGCGATGTGTGCCGCGAAGGGCGGAAGGAACACTGTTTATTATGAACTGACGAAGTAACTTACCTACCCTTCAAGCTTGCTACGTACCTACTCTCGTTTCGATCCTCCATGCTGTTTGTTTGTTAATACCCACTTATCTCGTACGATGCCCGGACTCTTCACCTCGGGCCCTGGCTGATTATCGCCCGCGCACCTGCCTTCGGTCCGGTTCATCGCAAGTACGATGACCCCAGCCTTTGAGAAAAAACATCCCCAGAAGGTGCCAGGAGGTACAGCGCCGAGACAGGCCGGTTCTTCCCCGGATGATAAGCATTTCGAGAACCAGCTCTGTTTGATTGTTCAACTCGAAAAGCACGTACAACAAAAACATGACTACAAAGCTTTACAGTGTCCGTCCATACGATATATACTTTTAAATACACGATGCAAAGGTCGAAAGCACGAAAGAGAGAAAATAAGATCGGGTGGGAACCCGGAGAAATTGATGAAAGCGGGACAGAACCCTTCTCCATCAGGCGAGTGGTATCTGGTCCGGCCCTCTATTGTTGGGGATCATCCCCGCGAGACTGGGGTCGGCTGGCCTGGTAGTCCTGTCTCGAAGCAGGCCGGGAAGCAGATAAGCTCTCCACCGGCGGCATGCGCGGGCTGGGAGCGGCGCTTGCGCGGGCCGGAGGGGTGCTTACTGCCGCGCTGGGCGCGGGCGCCGGTGCGGAGACGGACGTGGCCGGTGCGGGGAGGGGCAGCGTTGGGCGGGGCGGAGACTGCTTGACCAAGCTAGAAGCAGCGAGCGATCCACGGCGGTGGGGGAACTGTTCAGGCCGCGGACGCGCGTGAGTTCTTTCGAACAAGCCGCATTTGTTGCACAACTGAACGAACGAACATATTGACCCCATCAGAGTCCGATCGCGACTGATCGAGCAAAATCTGACTTACGACTTTACCGGGGCTGAGGTTGGATCGCCGCCAGGTGCTGGTCTCGGTTGTCGTGCAGTTAAAGCAGCGGCGTCGGACGCGGTCTGTGACGCGCGTAGCGGCGTCGTCGGTGAGCATGACCTGTGCAGCCGGGATCGCGGCGGCGGCGGCGGTTGGTCCAGAGAGCGACACAGGATAGGGCACATAACGTGCGTATTGGCTGTGGTAGGAATGCGACACGTGCGAGTGGGCGCTGCCAGTCGGAGCCGCGTCGTACCGGGGATCGGTGTGCGATTGCTGCGGCGGTGGCGGGGGAGCGTAGACGTAGCCGCTTTGTGAACTGTATTCGCTACGAGGCATTGGAAAGGGAGAGGTAAGGTCGGAGCGAAAGAGCAAAGCGGTGGATGAAGTGAGTGACCCGTTGACTCCGTTCTGATTGCTTCCTGGGCGGTATTTATCAGAGCACGCGGCTCACTAGTGACTGTGGGCGTACCAATGCTTTCCCAGCGCCTGTATTCATGCTCCGGTGCGGCCCAACACGGCCATCACGCTTCTCAGCCAATTGAAGTGCACAGAATCGTCCGGCTATGCCTGATGCTGTGGACCGTGGGCAGATTTTACGGTCTCTGCTGTTCATTGATAATCTGTCCGACCTGTCCATCCATCATCCCGCGTTCATCAAACAAGGACAGCGCCTTAGGGCAATCTCCCATAACGGAATCCCATCCTTATTTTTCGCATGCGGCCAACTCATAGGCGCGCAGAGATGTGCTCCGAGTTTCTGTTCTAGGAGGCATGCGTGCAAGATGCGCCTATTTCTCCGCCGATGGTACCCCATGACGGGTACTATCAGCGTTCTGATCATCGAAAGCGTAAGAAATCTCTTTGACCATCGCTGTGGCTGGGCCCCGGAACGGAATCCCATCTGGTTTCCAGATCAGACGGAGCCTTCTCTTCCATTCACTCGGTACTTTGGCTGCCATGAATGGGCGACCGTATTTGTTTTAGATTGGCGCCAGTCCACGAGCTCGCCCATCCATAGCCTCCCCCTGCGTGCATCAACCGATTTGACAGTCTCTGCTATATCCAACCTGCCGTTGCTGAGGGGAGTCCATTCCCAGCTTGACTGATGCCATCACGGCCTTGGACGGTTCCCCGCATCGCTCAATCACGCATGTTGTGAATCCGCATGGCTTCCAAGGGGCTTCAACTTAAATACGCGCTGACCTGCGGACATCGACAATCGCTCCCTAAGTGACAGCGGCCAGGGACTGATTGCGACATAACTGACCCTTGGAATGTGCTCGTTATCATGTAAACCGATCCGGAAAGCCTCTGCCCGCGGTCCCATTTCTGTTTAGGACTTTTTCCCACGCGATCTTCCAACGTTCTACGATCTCCGAGAAAACACATGATGTGATCAGATAGATGTCCGAGACCACTTGTATCTTGAAAATCCCTGCTACCATCAGAAATCGTGCGGCTGATGCAAATTGGGTGGGTGGTACCAGGTGGTACCGCGAGAGAGAGAGCGAGATCTCCCATACGAAACGAATCCGGAGATGCCCTCGATTCTCCCGAAAACGCGGATCATTCGTGTGGCGCGGGAAACAAAGTGGAACAGCTGATACCTGATTCCCTATCGTGAAACCGGTTCAGTTCGGACCCGGGATGTCTTGTGGACGGGACCTTCGTTCGAGGTGTTCTCACCGAGAGTAGCCTTTCGGAGGACCGATGGGCTGGCTGCCACTGCTGACTAGCCGACGTCGTTTTATTTTCAGACGTTCACAATTGAATCCTCCGAGCAGGTTACGATATTGACTGCAGCGATAATATGACCGCATGCAACGGGGACGTACAAAGCTGCCACTGATACCTATCTCAACTGCATGCATAGCTTCAATCTGTGCCCTTCCCGAGGACCTAAACCGGGCAGAGATCCGTTGCAGATCCCTAGCTCCTAAACTTCAAACATGATTGAGCCTGGAGTGCTGTGCAGAATGATTGATTGATCCTACCATCTCAACAACGGTTGATTCCTCGCATAGATAAAAACGGAGCCCTTCTTGCATTGCCCATTTGACATGCAAGCAATCCCATTGAGTGGAGGTCGTTATATTTGCCACTCCTCAGCGACTACTCGCTCGCTTTGCGCCATGCCAACAAATGTCAGCATAAGTCTCAATCTTGGAAGCACAATTCATTAAGACGTGGGTCAGCATCCTGAATGGAAGCGCACCGTAACTCTCAGATGCGCATGGTATCCAGAGGGTTGCTGGCGACTTGGAGATACGACCACTCGACTCGGAACAAGGTTGTGCTTGCAAAACGCTCTAGATCTCCAGCTCTGGATCCGAGCAATAAATGGAGTGCCGGACTGTTGTTGGATTCGGTTTCATGAGAGCTTCAATACTTGACTTGGAGCTCTCCGCTGTCTCACAGACTCGCGAATCACATTCGATTTTAACTGTCGTGATTTCTTGTGGTTCCAGTAGTTACATAAGTAACTCGATAATTAACCTTCGAAAAACTGCCGCTGGCCGTTGCACATTTGGTCTGATGCACAGAAAAGCATGGGCCGCTCTTTAATTTCTGTCTTTTATTCAGAAACACCTGTATAATCTTGATCAATGGCGAGCGCATGCCTTCTTATTCAAGCTCGAAATAAGAGTGTTTCTCATTCTCAGCGCTGTGTGCATGTCAATCTTGATTACGTCACCGGATCATCGGAGCTCCAAATGATATCACCCGAAAAACAGGGAGCCACGGCCTTGCCTCACCTCGTCGTCGCCCACAATCCCGCCACCCCCTCCCTCCCCTCCCTCCCCACTTCTCTCGACGCCCTTCTTCTGGGTCCGAAAGCGAAGATGTTCATCCTCCCCGCTCAAGCTCTCCCCTTCGTGGATATCTCCCTGCCTACCTCGGCGAGCACCACATGGCGTGTGGGCGGATTGAGCTTCAGCCTGAGCTACACTCGGCTCCTGCTCATCCTCCTCACCAACATCGTATTCGTCTCACTCGTTCGCTCCGCCATACTATCGCGGAAACGGACACCCATCGCCGTGACTGTTATCGAGAAGGCGGAGCAGGCCGTAGTTTTGCCGGAGGCGAAGCGAGCTGGGTCTGCGCCTGTAAACATTGGCGATTCTGTCCCGGCGTCGCCGCGCAAGTGGTCCAGGCTCTTTTCCTTCAAGTCGATGGCCATGCCCACTCTCGCTGAGGCACTCCCGATAACGCTCAACCCGCCTCCTCCACCCGTTATGCGGGGTGGCCATGTCTACCGCGGTGGCCGTGGTGTTGGATTTGCCTCGCGGAGATCTGGCTCAGAAGCCTCGCGGTCGCGAGCTGATGCTTCCAGTGCGTTTTGTCCTTCTTTGTCCGCATCAACAACGGGCGCTGACGCACATTCCTCCTTGTCTTGCAGTGACCGCTGTTTACGACTCTGAGACGCCTGTTTCGATGGCGCAGATGATCATGAGTCGGCATGTTAGTCCTCCCATCCACTATTTCCTTCGTTCGCCGCTTATCGTCATGGGCAGACGTATCGCCGCCCTGCCAGCCCTAGCCCGCGACGACTGGCTCCTTCGTCCCTGAATGTATCACGCCAGGCATCTGTCCCAGACTTGGTGCCGTCGCCCTCTGCATCCTCCGTGTAAGAGGGCCCCCGCGGGTTGCACGGGCCTGCAGAGCCCGAGATGATGAGCCACGATGATGCTGATGAGAAGAAGATGACCCCGACGGACGACGACGTTTGCTATCTATCGCTATCTATTCAGCGTGCGGTCCTTCGGCCGTGCCTGCTGAGCTGTTTGTTATATCCATTCTACCTGCCCACGACGCACACACTTGCTACCTTTGCGCTCAGCTTTATACCACCAACCTAACTAACCTCTTACGCTACAACCCGGACTATATCTTTTCGTACAGACTCTTAGACGACGTTGGATCTCGTGTTTCCTGTAACATATTTGCTATTACATTCGCTTCGTTCGCCACTTGTAGCTGCCAGCTACTTGTCATATTTATTGTGTGCCATCTGGCTGTCGACCAAGATGGCATCCATGGAATCATCATCCCATTATTCAGTCGGTGCGAGTTCTACCGCGGTGACGCAGGGCAATTGGTCGCTAAGCGGGAGCCAATTCGTAAGCCTTGAGGCTTGGGACAACCGGAGATCGAGGACGCGGCAGAGCCGATCCGGGGACTCGGACACTAGTTTCGGCAATCGCAAGGGCAGCGCCCAGGTGTAGTGGGTATCCTCCGACTGGATGAGGCCGCTTGTGGAATTCGGCATCGAGAACAGCCGAGTGGCTGGAAAGTCGATCTCCAGGACAGTGCACGTCACGGGTCGAAGCGGGCGGCCTGAGCGAAACATCGCAGCGGACCCGAGTAAATCCTGGCATCTGTTCTCGCGGAGGGCCCATTGGTTGCCGAGCTGGCGAGGATGGGTGACGATCGTGGAGGATGCGATGTGTCCTCGCCGGTGAATCAACCGTGCTCCATTCACATTCCGCATATTGGACATCGCGCTCGGCGAGGACGTGTCTATGCTTAGACTTCTGCTTCAGTTTCTGTGCGGGCTTCTTGCCGAAACGAGTAGTCTTCCCCCACGAGGGGAGGTCCTTTCTGCGCCACTTCGGCGTCGAGTCGAAAGCGGGGATGAGCTCGGTGCAATCTGCGGTCATTGTTTCCTGCGGGGAGCGGGACTCGGGGATACAAGGGAGGATTCAAATGAGATGACAGAACCCATTCTCAAGCGCCCGCTTATATACCCGCCGTCTCCACAAAGCTCTGGTCCATGCGTGCAGGCCCCATTCACCAAACATTCGATCCAGGCATAGCCAGAAGAACCAGGCGGACAGGCCTGTCAGTTTCAAAAATTTTATGGCATCCGTCGTTCCGCCTTGTTCTTCGAGTGTGCTTGTCAAGGTTCTTGTTGTCGTTGGGGATGTCCACGACGTGGGCGTCGTCACGGCAGCAGTCCAATTGGGAGGGACACAGAGAGGTATCGTTTCTGGCTAGTGGCAGAACTTCACGAGCGCATAAAGAAACACATCCATGATATCCTGCTAAATGCGCCGAGAGTCGCTGTCGACAAAGCTGAGTGTTGTGTGAAGCGGATTTGACGGATGATGATTAGGTACCTGTCACGTGCAACTCAGTTTACGCACCCGCACCAATTCGGGCCAAGATTTGCTCCTTAAATTTTCGCGAAACTGAGGCTCCCCGAAGGAAAAAAGAATGTACCGCTCTTATGGATGAAAATCAAGAGTCAAATGAATCGTCTCTGATCAGATTGTGCAACACCGAAAATGAAAGAATTGTTCTTCACATCTCTTCAATCTTGTTTCTACCCATTTGAGAGAGAGCTGGCTTCTTGAATAGAAGGAGACATGTGAAAATTTGCGTCTACATTATATCCCTGGAGCATCTCTCACTCCCTTCTTACGCATCTTCTTGAGGAAAATCGTGCCCAAACCGACTGGTACAGTTCAGGCGATGTGTGAGATTCGGTTCACTGAGGCAGATATACTCTGAGATGGCAGAAAAAGTGTGTACGTATCTTATTGTATCCGCTCTTCTAATGCTATTTGATGAGAATCCGCTCGGGGGAAATGAGTACGGGAGCAATGTGAGCGGTGAAAGACACCGCACAGTCACCGGTGACGTGCGTGTTTTCCGTCCAGGCGTCATTGAAGTAAGTCAAGAACACCCGGTGAGCAGAAAATTGTCGTCGTCTCCTGGCGGCATGCTCGCAGTGTTGGCCCCGGCTCTGGTGTGGAGTTCTGGGTAGCGAAAATTGAGCATCAGGTGGGACTTTATGAAGGAGGATATGATTCTGGTCAATATTTCGAGAAGTTGAGAAACGATACACTCACGTGCTGATCTCAATGGCCTGGACGCGTCGAGCGAAGATCCGTGAATCTCAAGTGAGAAAGTAGGTCTATGACAATCGCGCGCATACAGACCTTTTGTCGGAAAAATCTGAGATTGCTTAGAGCGGACTAGACCCGGTGCCAAGTCGTTGCAAGGTCTCCTGTTCAGAACGTTGAAAATAAGCTCATGTTCCGGTCTGGGTCGGAGTCATGCTCGGAGACTTGCGAGGAAGGTAAGAATGTTTATGACATTGATCACGACTACCACACGGCAGTGGTGTTGAGCGTCAGCAGAATGCACGACAGCTTTGCTTACCTGCAGTATACATATACTGTAGTTCCTAGGTCAAAATTGGCGTGAGTACTAGTATCAACAGGCGTGAAATTAGTGACGAGACGCGCCATTCCTGCGCTAGTAGAGCCAGAATGCGTTCATCGCGTTCGTTGAATGAGCATGGCTTGATAGAATCGAATCAGAACGCTTAGGTTGGCGCATCCGAGAGAAGGGGACCGACGTGCGCGCACCGCCGATCGGAATTTGGATGATCAGCGCGAAGTACTCGTGGTCAGCCAGCGCTGTGTCGCACTGCTCGATGGTCGGCCGAACTCAGCTGCTTTTCTGCCTTGTGACTGACTTACATCTGGGAAGCCCAGTCGTCTGCAATTCACAGCACGCGACCGCGAATTTCCTGTCGGAGCTCTTGGCTTCCCCGAAGTTCTGTGCGGCCACGGGGGCAATGCCCAACAGGGTAATTTAGCGGTTCAGGAAGAAAAGAGGTCGCTGCGATCATCAGTACCGGCTGACCTCCTATTTCCAGTGCGAGGAAATAGTCGTAAAGTAGCAGCGCTGCAGGCATCGTGGTCAGTACAAGACATGGTACTGAAAGGGCCAAGGAAGAAAAGACTGAAAGCTAAATCGCTGCTGTGGTAGTTCCAGTTCCTGCGGGACGCCGGCTCGGGTAGGATGCGAACCATGCGTTGGGTTGGAACCCAGAGGTGCTTTCGGACCTCAGCACCCATCGGGTGCGAGAAACCATTAGGGAGAAGGAGAAGTAAGAACGTGATGACCAGGTTCACTGCAGCGATACAAGGAGCGACATTGCCAAGTGGCCGTATGTTCAGGAGACTCTCACGGGAAGAAGTTTGACCGGATTCGGGCCCGGTTGATCGGCTAGGGATAGCCTAGGCCGCCGTGAGTCCGCACTGATCAGCGCTGTTAGAATTCACGGCGGTCGATTCACAGCAAATTCTCTGTAGAATGTCTCTCGTCACAAGGCTGTTGTTCGCGGGGAACAGATTCCCATAAGTATTGGTTGCTGCAAAGTTTGTGGTACACCAAGGTATCTTCAATAGGTATAGAATGAACTTGGACTAGAATTTCCGCAAGGCTCGAATGTCCTTTTTGAAAGTTACAGATCAGGGTCGTCCTCCAATCTGCTACTTCGCGCTGACAATCAACACACTTGCGCTCAACGGCGGGGTATTGTACGTGATCGTCTTGCCGGCAGTGAACGTGATGCTCTTCGGCACGGCGGCGTTCGGGTTGGAGGGCGTGTTCATCGTTCCCGCTGCGGCGGTGAGGATGGACCCGGTCCCGGCGGTCGACAATATGGTGATGCTCGATGGAAGCGTGAACACGATCGTGTTGGTGCTCGTGCCGGTGTTGATGGCCTAGATGAGATGAGATTAGATTAGATGCCTGGAGATCGCTTGTGGTCGTCGGATGATGAATCACCTTGAGGAACAGCTGGTTCCCGGATGTGTTTTTCGTGACACTCCATTGGACGGGGCTTGATGCTGCGTTGGTGGTCGAGTTGAGATAGGTGTCACCCTTGTAGACGCCGAACATCTGCAGGGGACAGTTCGGTCACATACTTCGAGGATCAAGACCGTGAACGAACCTGCTGGACGTAGTACGAGGTGGAGAGAATCAGCGAGTTGGGCCTGTGAAAGATATGAGCTGGAGCCCCTGCGATGAACGCGAGGCTTACGTGAAGGTGACCAGATTGGGTGTCTACGGGACTTGATTCAGTACCCAAAGCGGATTGGACTCGTTATCATCCGGACTCACCCATTGAGTGCTTGACACGTGCTAAGGATCAATCAGTCACATGCCCCTACAGTCATGTGGAAACAAACTCACGTTGAGCAATGGAGCGTAGGACGCAGCGAAAACGATATCACTGTTACGGTCGAAGCCAGCCATGTAAGCAGCTTCAGCGATAGATCCTATAGGCCAAATCTGAGGATCCTGGTGCAAAAAGTAATGGGGAGACCGTACCGTCAATGAACGGATACGCGATGGAAGATCCCGAGTTGGTCGTCGTCGTCGCATATTCACCCTGCCAATCACATTACTAAACTGGGACAAGTAATGATCGGGAGCGGACACACCTGGAAGAACTGCAGTCCGTTGCGGGGGAGGATATCAAAGTTGTACGCTCCGTTCGTAAAGAAGTCTGCGTCCTCAGTGAGCGGAATGTTCGCACGCAGACAGACATGGACGCACTGGGGTTGGAGTAAATGTGCAGATCCCAGAATTGGGGTGCAGGGCCAGTGACTGAGGGGACGAATCCACTGGTGGCGCTGGTCGCGATGAATTCTGATCGTTTGATAAGATAAAAGATCAAGATTTGATCATAACAGGGGCATACTGAGTTGGGGGAACTGGGCGTTGAGCGCGGTGTAGAAGGCGGACCAGCGGTAGCTGTCGTAGCTGGATGTCGCGAAGAAGTCTTCGTTGCCGATCTCAATGTACGTCAGCGCGAAGGGCGCAGAGTGGCCCATGCTCGCACGGATGGCGGCTGGAGGGAGTGAGCACGACTTGGAAGAACAGAAAAATGATGGTGCGTACCGTATTGATTGGTTGATTCATCTCCGATGGCAAACTCGATCTGGGCTACGGTGAGTTTGTGTCAAGATCGAAAATACAAGCGAGCGAACTTGGTTGATAGCATCCTGGATGTACGGGCCGAGAGCTGATTGAGCCTGAGACGTGCCGTCCAGAGAATAGCCTGTACCAGATTGAACACCAAAGACTATGAGATGACAGTCAAGTAAGCACATACCAGCCCAAACGGCCATGATAGGCTCCATGTTCATGTCTTCAATCCATTGGAGGTATTCGTAGAGACCGAGACCGTCGGTGTTGATATATCCCTGGTAAGTACGATTCAAAAAACACTACGCAAGCAGAAGCAAAGAGAGCCCACCCAATCTCCTTGTCGTCCGGGCCGGCTCACGAGGCTACCGACAGTGTTGCTCCAGAGCCACCGGCTTGCCGCAGTCTGGCCTTCGAGATCTGCGAAGCGGGTGGCCAACTCAGATCGCGTGATCCGACGCAAAAAAGAATGCACACGCACTGTTGCCACCAGGGAAGCGGAAGAACCCGGGGTTCATCGCGAGCAGCGCGTTGCTGATGTCCAGTCGCATTCCATTGATCCGGTTCTTGAACGTGGGCGGGAAGCACGTGAGCATCGCGAACTGCACAGACCCTCCTCCGCTCGTCACCAGCGATCCGGGCAGCTGCACGAAGAACAGATTGGCGGTCCCGCTCGGGGTGGAACTCGGCGTGAACCGGAACGTGATCTGCTGCCAGCCCGAGGAGGACGTGAACGCGTAGCTCGCGGCGGCGACGGCGGTGCCGGCGGAGTTGAGCATCCCCACAGTGAAGTCACCTGACACGGCTTGGCTGGGCGCCGAGGGGAATCGGAAGTAGAACGATCCGTGATATGTCCAGTTGCTCTGTACATTGATGCCTGTGATTTGGCGAACGTCAGTCCCCAACGAGGGATGTGAGTGCGGAGGGACTCACCGAAGTAGCCCGAGTTGGTGATTCCGACAGTGGAGGTGGTGCCTGCAGTGAGCGACAGAGCGTTCGGAAGCGCACTCGAAACGGGCACGTTCGCTGCCACGACAGCGATGTGCGAGTTGCTGTTGAGCCCAGCCCACGCTGTGAGCGACGCACTCGTCCCTGGTGTGACCTTCTGGAAAGCGCGGTTTTGGAGCAGTTCGCCGTATAAGCCACCGTCTCCGCTCTGTGTTGAACATCAGAAACCGTCAGCGACAGAGACCACAGATGGCACTTACATGCTGTAATAACATCGGCATCCGAATGAACTAGAAATTAACGAACGCACGTTGATATCCTGTTCGCAGTTTCCGTAAGCGTCCCCTGGATGAAAGACAAAGGCAGTGATATACCTCGTACATCATGCCATACAGCGTTTTGGGGACAGCATGCCCCGAGGTTCCAACAGCGACATTGAAGGTCGCCGAATGGACGCCTTGAAAGGAGGCACAGGCCAGTAGCAGAGGAAGAATCGTTTGAAACATGGGGCCAGAGACACTCCATGTTGCACCACTGTTCGTCGTTATAAACAGGATCCTACGAAGCCCAACCAATGTCGCGTGA